CTCTTTCCCATTATTATAAACCCAAACCCTCATCAAACCGCTGAAATAGGCAAGTTCTGAGACACTTTGCTCTGTTCCTAAACATCACTATTCTGCTTGCTACCAGAGCTCTTGGAACTACATCATTCATATAGTTACAATGTTACATCAGTTGCATTTAATATCCACAGGTCAAAGCCAAAGACCTTTATTTCCTTCTAGGGCCATGTAAACAGTATGAACTGCCACCTCTAAGGCAAAGAGCAGGTGCCTGACTTCTGCTTCAGTCATGATCCAAAGGAGAAAGGTTTCTGCTGGAGCAGGAGGGACAGCACATCCCCACACTCTGAACACTGTGTGCTATACAGAGGATGACAGAAGATTATCTCACTTAATGTGTTGCAAAGAAGCACACATCACTTCCAGCACACCCTCCCCGTTTGCAGCTAATTAACATGATATGCAAGCACCACTAAAACCATGGGAAGATCGCTTTGTAAAAACAAGTCTTAATTCAGCATTGAGACTAACATCATACTGTTTTATGGAGCAATAATCCAGTTCTTTAGTGAATAAGATGAATGACCTAATCACACAGTTTATCTAGACTTCTGCACAAGAACCCCTACGCAAAGCAACCTCACAGATTTGGTGCAGACCAGGCAGCCTCCTTAGTACCTCTTGTGCAGAGAATTCCACAATCCTCCTGGTAAAAGCCAGGTAATCAGCTGGCAGAAAACCACCAAAGTATATAGAGAGCAATCTATGGCAAAGAGCAACACAGAACTTGCCACTCACGAGGAAAGTCTTGTGAAATCTAGAATTTACACAGAGCACTTGACTACAGAGCCATAAACCAGGTCTTTAATTCTTCAGCTCCAGAGAGGATAAAGGGCTGAGCCAACCTCCCCATGGTTCCAGATGCTGTGTGCTGCAAACAATCCTGCCAGACCTGCTCTGCCCCCAGGTGCTACTAGGCTTTGATTTTCCTTTTCCCCTCAGTTTAACAACTAAACTAACAGATTAGCTGAAATACGCTCTCTTTATTTTTATCAATGTTTTCCAGAGCTTGTTGCAATTCCACCACCTGCAGAGTGCATTGATCCAAAACATCAGCCTGATCAAGAGCTGGTACTCCAGCTCCTGGAGAGGACCACTTACGGGATTTAAAAGTGATGGTGGTGGCCACGCAGAATGAATCACATCTGGCCTTTCATTCTTATCACACAACCCCTCCTCACATCAAAGTAGAACCAGAAGGCTAAAAGTACACCTGTTTTCCAGGAGATGTGCAAACTTAGCCCTCCTACCTCCAGCCACACATCCCAAGACCAACATTTTTAATTTATCTCAGTACCAAATTTAGTACAACTCTCACAGCTTTTCCAATGTTCTTATTTGCGTGAAAAACACCTCTTTTCTAATCACCACTTCACAGATCTAAACGGGGGCAATCTATTTTCATCCACCTTTACTTGAAATCACTCCTTTTATCTGAGACTCGATTACAGGACAGGAGTTCTCAGAAAGCTTGAGACAGTCATGAAGTTGTTGGTACAGCCACAGGGAGGTTTCAAGTCCCATCTCTTGCCCGCATCAACCAATTTCTCCCAGAGCCTGCCAATGGTTTAGGAAGCTTGACAAACACTCCTGTAGCCTCCAGGATCAAGGTCTCTGATCCAGCACAGGTCCACCCATGACCAAAGCCTCCCTGGTTTAGTCATTCAAAGCTGTGACCCAACCACGTGGGCTACAGAAATTTGTCTGATAGCTCAGAAACTTTGCTCAATGCATTTTCCCCCCCTGGAGTTTTTAAATACTTGAAGCTTCTTCCTAAAACTTTTACTTCACTTCACAGTCTCAGGTTTAACTTTGAGAAAGACCCACAACCAGTATCCACAGCTGTTTGATTTTGGTGTGGAGGGGAAGAAGTAGGGCAGTGTGATTCAGGATTTTGGGAGTTTTCCTTGTTTAAAATTATGAGGAAGACAACAACGTGAGTTTTTGAACCATTTCTTAAATGCTTGGGATTAAGAAAAGGACTCAAAAAGCCTAACAGTGCACACCAGTGAGAACAAATGAGTTAAGGGAAACAGAGTCATTTTGTCAACTCGAACTACAGTGGTTATACATGTAGTTATGGATCTATAGTTTTGTATATGTATACATATATTAATAAATAAAGATTATTTTAAAAGAAAGCAATGTTGATAGGAAATACTTTAAATCCATGTAAAACAATGCCCCCCTCCTCCAAAAAAAATGACATGTGCATCTAATAAAAATCTGAAAGCCCCACCATTAACAGTCTAAGTGTCACATTGATACTATTTTCTTAAACTAAAAAGCCAGACTGTAGCTTGAAACAACATATTTTCCTAGTAATATTCCCATTCCAGGCACAACAACCAATATGTTGACATTTATTTGCTACATGTCATTTTGAAAGTTCTACAGCTGCATTCCTTTTGCTTTATTAATGGTTTGTCACTACAGCCATGTCTACACTTGCCTCACTTTAAAGGGGGGGAAGAGATAAACAGGGCTTCCTTTCTTTGTCAGGTCTGGTATGACCCTGCCAGAGATGATGCCAACAGCAGCACTGGCTACACAGCACAGCTAGCCACAGGCATGGGTTTTAGCAGTACTTCACACAGACATACACCATGCAGAGTTAGTTAAGATGGGGTTAAAATATCTGCTGTGACTCTGGCAGTCTTCACACCAAAGGCAAAACCTTTGGAAACGGGCTTCATAGACTTTTTTTAGCTTATTTGGTCATTCATCCTACTCAAACCAGACCTATTCACCATACATTCACACCCCTCCTAAACAAGTGCATCCCCCTACCTCAGGGGATGCTCATAAGAACAAACTTGATTAATGCAAAGAAGGTGAGGTCTTAATATAAGCACTTTCCTTCCCCTCCCCCCCACCACCCCATAAATTCAAGAACATCACTGGAAAAAAAACACCAGAAAAGGACTCAAAGAGCCAGGTCACATTTCAGGATATGAGAACTCTTCCTTTGCTAAAATATGAACTGCCAAGAACTAACCCACAGAACTGTTTTTCAGGTACTAACTCAAATTTGGGGTTTTGTCTAGAAAGCCGACTATATTTAAATCTTAAAAAGATACTTCCTGTGCGTCTACATTCCCTAGCTTTGGCTGGGATGGACCACAGGAAAGCCAACATGGAGCAAGAGCCTCCATCTCCCTGTCTAGCTACCTCCAGGAATATGAGAAATCACACCTTCCCACCTTGCTGTAGAGCAACAAAGAAGAAATAACTATCCAAGTTGGATATTTCTCTCCCCAAACCAAACTTTCCAAGCCCTTTGATGTTTGCAACCTACTGTGACAAACTGGACTTTCAATTCAACATCTTCTGCTGGTCACCGAGATGACTCTGTTTCCTTAAATTAATCCAATATGTGAACTACTAATACAGAAATTAGTCACACATGGCAATAGAGAGAAAATTAAAATATACAGAAGAACAAAGTGTAACTCTCTAAACCAAATGACCATGTATGGTGAATCAATATGATCCAACAGGTTACGTCAAGAGTTCTCCTGAAATTCCAAAAGCAGCATGAACCACACCAAGATACCAAAGTCCTACTTTTCCTAGAAGGTCTCATCCATGCTATGCATGAGGGTATAAGCCAAGATCATTTTTCTCTTTGATTTTTTTTTTCCCCCCATTTTCTGTATTTACAAAGCCAAAGAACCTCATCCAGCTGCAGCAGACAAATTCAGAGAACCTGGCAACAGCAAGAGGAGTTGTGGACACGCAGTCCTGTGACCGCTCTCTGCAAAGGATGAATTTTTATTTTCCTGCAGCAGACCATTGAAAGTTACTGAACAAAATGTTCTGCTTTTTTATCAGAATCATCTGGAATTACAGAAGTTGTACTGCAAAGATGACAGACAGCTTTCCATTACCCAGTAGAGCCACACATCCTGATTTATTTAATATACAATAAAAAAACCAGTGCTCGGCACATCTGCTCTCATGCAAATAACTCGGGGTTATTCCATCTGCTTAGAAAAGAACATACTGCATAAAAATTAAGAAGCAATCTCAGTGTTACTATAGGAAAGATAGGAAACACACAATATAAAATTCAAAAAGGAAGAGTTTTCTCTTTCCAGGTTAAAAAAAAAAAGACCCTTCAATTTCAACATGATTAAGTTCACACATAGATAGTACACACACACACGAGCCCCAACAGTGAATGCAGCAATTAATAATAAGCAAACCAATACTCCTCAAATTTTCTACAAGATTTGTCCTTGGCCATGAGGAGCATTTTGTCCATGGCCCAGTCACCGTCTGGCCCAGCTACGATCACAGGCCCTCCTGGCCACCAGCTGCTTCTTTGAAGGAGTCCATCCGT